GCATAATTCGAAGAAAAAACAATTTGATGAAAGTGGTAGTGATGAGGTAAAACAACCAGCAGAAGAATCTTTTAGAGTTGAGTACTTTATTTTTATAATTGATCAAGCTCTATCTTCTATGAGGACTCGATTTGAACAATTCAAATAATATGATGACACATTTGGATTTTTGTTAAGTTTGAAGAGGTTAAGGGACGCAACTTTTTCAAGTTTGTTGAAATCTTGTTTGAATCTTGAGAAATATCTTCAACATAATGGGCGTTCGGATATTAGTGGAGATGATTTATGTTCGGAGTTACAAGTCTTGAGATGTTATATACCAAGTGAAGCAACAAGAGCAATTGAAGTGCTACAATATTTGAAGACATTGGATGTTTGTTTTCCAAATGCTTATACTGCTTACCAAATTTTGTTAACCATACCGGTTACAGTTGTATCTGTGGAAAGAAGTTTCTCAAAATTAAAGTTGATCAAGACCTATCTCCGATCAACTATGTCGCAAGAAAGATTAAACGGATTGGCTATGTTATCAATAGAAAAAGAAATGGTTGAGCAGTTAAGTTATTCAGATTTGATTGATATTTTTGCCTCTAAAACAGCAAGACGAATAGTATTTAACTAATTGTTTGAAATTTTTGGTTTGATGGTTTATAATATAAATCGTTTCTATGATATATTTCGTTGTTGTTTTAATGTTAGTTTTTTAAGTTAGCAATAAGTCGCATAATACACCTTTGAATTTTGTCGCTGGGGGCCTACTTTTCATCGTTCGCCTCAGGGCCCATTAGACACAGGATCGGCTCTGCATATAATTACAAGCTCCGGAGAGCCCGTTTCATGGAATATCCCAACGAGCTTCTCACCATGGCTGTTCTGTATTACCAGCTTCGTTTGTTCAGCCACTGCCCAATAAATTACAAAATTTACAGAAAACAAAACAAAAAAATAGAAAAAGGAATCAAACACGGAATGCTAGTTATTAAATTGACAACTTGTACAGAAACCAAAAATGAGGTTAGAAACAAATATATGTTTTTCAATAAAAAGGTATTCATTCTTCACCTCTTTTTCTAGTCTACTAATAGCTGCAAGCAATAACACAATTGCATAGTAACATGATGGCAATTTATATCCAAAAATACATAAGAAGGTCTACCATTTTCAGCTTTCGGAAAAACAAATTACTCGAAATAATCGATAGAAAATTATAAAAGAATAAAAAACAAAGAAACACAAAACATATATAAAAAAAGGACACAATCTTGGACTTTTTGAATGGAAAACTCATAGGTCCATAACTCACAAAAAAATCAATATGATCATCCTAGGATTCATAAACAATTATGGGATTTCTTTTTTCTTCGTTTTTTCCCCCTAAATCTTGAAATAGAAGCAGTAATATTCAAGCGTTTTGAAATTCTGAAAAAGTAACTCTGGCATGCGTTGCTAAGCACTCACCCGAACTGGAATTTGAAGTCCGAACCATTTGATATGTGGGATTCTTCAACGCATACGAATTACAATGGCAGTGCTTGCAGGTCAGTAATCCTGTTTCCGTGCACTAAAATCGCGTTCAATCAATGAAGAATTTATTTGGGTCTATCATGGAAATAAAAAGATAAATCTGAATTTCTTTGAGGATTCTCAAAATGGGTGGATAAGCCCTGATCCACTTGCAGGCCCAATTTGCAAGGTTGAATGACCCGTTTAAAAGTATAGTTGGGTTCCAGCCACGAGGAATGTTTGGTTCATGGACCGCCAATAGCAGATTGAACCGGTCTAATCAGTTGTTTATTTTTCCTTTAATTTTTGGAAATTTAAGCAACAGAGAGAAGAAAGAATAGGAAATTCGGACATATTCCATATTATCTAGAGGAAGCGCTCCTTGCATGAGGAATAATCATCTATTGTGCCCTATCAAGTTTGCTCCCTAGACATAAACTACGTAGAGGATGGAACTCTTAGAAACATAGAATATCGTTGAGTGAACATAACATTAAGTTACAAATGTAATTCCCGAAGCCATCAACCACTCTTCTAAATATAGTAAGGTGGAGAATTGTTGTTCATTAGAGCGTTGGAATGTAGAGATTGTTCTCATCACTGAAGTCAGAGTATTGGATTAAGTCTTCTGAATGAGAAAGAAAAAAATGCTTAGTTTAGTTGGAAAAACTGATGTAAATATGATGCCAACATTCTCTCGCGAAGAGAGACTTTAAGAAATTCTCTCCTTTTATAATTATTGCTCCTGCACACATTTTCCCTTTGTTCAACGATGAAGAAAAGGTGGGCAAAGACCTAAATTTTCATTCGAATTTTTCCTAAAAGTTTCTTACAGCAAGATAATCAGTATTTGTGAACTAAAAATTAGACGCATAAGCTTGCATGCTCCATTGTTAAAAATGACGGCGATAGAAATAGAGAAAACAATTAATCAAAGACTTAAAGAATGGACTATAAATAGTTAATAGCAAAAGAGGCAAGCTTGTGAGCTGCTGTATTCTCCTCGCGGCGTATATAAAGTGTAAACTTCATTTACTGAAATTATGTGTACAAACGGTTGAAAAAAGAAGAAGCAAACATCCATTTTAAGGATTAAGAAACATACTAACATCGCGAAAAGTACAATGGTACGCAACATACCGTACTAAATATCAATATATGTTGTAAAGTAGTGTCATCAAATCGCTATTTGATTTAACTAAAAATTATATTGTTAATAAATTTTGAAAAGTTTATAGAAGCTACGTGTCTCGTGAAATAGGTAGTTAGAAATAAATTTAAAAAAAAAAAAGAGCTTTAGAAAATAGAGAACAAACAATGATAGATGATATTTTGGTACAAATTTTATTTATTCATTGTTTGGTATAGTTAATGATCATATTTTTAGTTTATTTTGATAAATTTAAATAAAATATGTGATTGAAAAATTAATAAAAATTATCGAACTCACGAAATGAGCATTTAAAATTAATTGCTGAGTTTAATTTAGATTTTTATCAAAATTTTAAACAACGCCGCATAAACTTAATTGAATATGAAAATTGGAGCTATGAATTTAGGGGGTATTTGAGCCACATTATTTTGGTAATAATACATTCTTGAATAGTGTATTGATGGGAAATGTGTGGTTAAAAAATAAGAAATTTTTTTTTATTTGTATGTAATATTATTTTATTGAAAAATGTGTGGTTGAAATGATATCAAATTACTGTTTAAGAATGCATTTTTTTTTTTTTGAATAATTTGGCTCAAAGAGACACTTAATGTTACTATGTTGCTTCATAGACTAATATTAACACGGCTTTGTGTCTCCTCAAATTTTTAGGACTTAATAAAAGTCAAAATTATCATACTAAAACGAGCAGAATCTACCATCCTAATCCATATTCAACCCCGAACAATTATATCAATATCGAGACATGGACAACGGCCCACTCTAGAATTCCGTTCAAAGACGCTGCAAACTCACAATTTACAGAAATAAAAACCCGCGAGAAGGAAAAATCAGAAACAGAATCAAGAAAAGAAAAAACCTGTATTCGAGTTTGCGTACCTTTCCCAAACAAACGACCATAAAATACCCTAAATTAATGCATAACATATAGGAATACACTTTCGTCTCGCAATAAATATTATACATCTGAAGAGAAATCGGAAAACTGTTCATATTTTTGTGTGTTTTTTAAGGTGCCCATTATGGTGGAGGCCGTGGAAGAAGGTGAAGGGAAAGGGAAGAGCGGTGGCGGTGAGTCATCAGAGCTCGTTATTTCAAGAAAGCAATCTGGGGCGACGGATTGGCTGAGCAACTTCCACAGGGATTTAATGGCGGGGGCATTGATGGGTGGTGTGGTGCACACGATTGTGGCACCCATAGAGAGGGCCAAATTGCTGCTGCAGACCCAGGAGAGTAACACGGCAATTTTGACAGGTGGGCCCCATAGGAGGTTCAAAGGGATGGTAGATTGCATTGTTCGTACGGTGAGAGAAGAAGGATTTCTGTCCCTGTGGAGAGGCAATGGCAGCAGTGTCATCAGATATTACCCATCTGTTGCCCTCAATTTCTCTCTCAAGGTAAAAATGACAAATATTCAATCTGTAGTTTATTTATTTATTTTTTTAATATGTTGGATTTATGGTGGATTGTGTGTGCATAGGATGGTCGAATTTTCAAGATACTATGATTTGTACAGAAAAAAAACGTGTGCTTTGTCGATTTTACAACAGTGATTCGTATACGGTATACATGCTGTGTTGTGTTTAGTGCTCTAATGTTTTCACTTAATTTACTTTCAAGAAATGGTACTTATGTGGGAAATTTATGTCTTTGTTCATGTAAAGCTCGACATCCAATTTTTGTTGTTTCATTGCTGTGTTTGGTGGCATGGAATAGTAAACTTTGATTCGCAACCTGTCAGAATAAGTTTTTAAGTTTGAATGGATCATCATATCCAATCCAATTTGATGGTATAAAAATGTAGCATAAATTCCTTTGTATTCTGTTCCTGAGATACAATGATCTTGAATGCACGTTCATGTTTGACATAAGAGCAGAAAATCCAGCGAAGTTTTTGCGGGGCTGTATACTCTTGATAAATGATAGTTAGAATGTATAATTTTGGTGAAACAGTAAATTTAGATTTTGACGTCTGCTGAAAATGTCTCAGTTCAAGAACTCTAAATTGTAATTTTTTTTATTAGAAGTATTGTACCTGATAAGGTGACTTCTAGCACTAAGTTAAGGCAGCTGAACCAATCGAATTAGTCTTTTTTGATGAGCTCGTCTTATCCATTGTTGTTAGGCTACATCTGTTTGCATACTGCCAGCCTTTGTCCATAAATGAGCTTTCTAGCATGGTAATCAAGTGTTGGTTTTGTAATGACAATTGAGATTAGAGAGATGTTAGGCTAACGCGTGTCGTGTTGTGGATAAGTCGTCAGCAGTTAGTTTCTGCGCTGAGTGTAGTTTCTCAGAGGACAAAATAAATTTCATACCATGTGTAGAGTTTGATTGAACTCTCTTAATAAGTAGACGACTGAGAAATGTGAATCTTGTTTGTGTTCGGCTGTGTCTATGAAGGAGTACTACAATATGGCACTTTTTCAATTTCTGGTAAAATAAATTGTTTATGATGTTGCCAGCTACGTATACTGGCCGTCAGTCTGAGTTCTGACTGAAGCAAAAATAATGTTGCTCACATAACTTGTGCAATTTCAGGGAAGAATTTAATGAGATCAGTTGGAGTAGAACCAAAAAATCTGTTTTGGCAAGCTAATCTTAAAAAAAGTGGTCATCGGCCATTAAAAAAAGCAAGAAAGGGTGTGGCCATTGGATGTACTGAACTGTGATGATTATGGTTGAAATGATTGGAAAACAAGAAAAAGCATAAAAAGAAGTCAAAGTCCACATTCAAATTTGAAATGTCTATATTCTTATGAAGCAAGGTACTTCGGATGGTAATTTAGCTAAGCTTCTGCCAAGGGCAGTTCAATTTATGGTGGAAGACTGGAATTTATTATTTTGTCCTATGACATTGACCAACCATTACCCTTTGAACATAAGCGAAACCTCCGCTGCAGCGTGTCTTTCATTTTCTCGTCGGATGAAACATGAAAGAATAAGATACTAGTCAATATCGAAACCATAAACGACTTTACTCTGTATGAGGAACTGAATTTCCTAGTTGCCTTTTGTACGCGATGTATGACTACCTGGTTAAGTACTTCTTTTACTGTTATATTTTAGGGAAGAGGGTATGAATACATTTGTCATGTAGTGTTCAACAAAAATTCTTGTGATCCATGATATCCCCAGTAACATGGAGAGTACTTAATTCTTTTTATTGATATATTGTTGGGAGGTATTATCCAAAAGCTTTGATTATTATATTTTTGACAGTCCATTGTCTGTTGATATCAAAAAGTAACTTGGTCTATGATTTCATATTTTAGTTGAAGAGAAACATATTCTTTGTTTGCTTTTTTCTAGAGAGAAGGAACATTCAGCAGCAATTTCTTACCCCGAATGTAATATGGCACATAAACTGAGTTTGAAGATACTTTTAAACGATCTTAAGATTTACTTCAGAACCACTATATGATTATATGAAAACAAAGAGATTTATACTTCAAGAAGTTGGATAAAGTAGGATATCTATTGACAACATCAATATACAGACATCAGTGTTGGTACCTTGCAAATACACAGACATATCTGTGAGAAGTGGAAGGGTGTATGCATTCCTCACCATGGTCTTGCATAGGTGTTAAGTTCGATCTATAGTGAATGCAGCAGTTTCTTTAGTGAAGTGGCTGGTTTAAACTAACAAACTTCCTATAGAAATCTCGTATGTTGGAAAAGAAGCGTTCTTGGTCAAGATCACCCCTCTCTCTCTCTCTCACGCGCACAGGAAAAGAACATACACCATTACCTAAGGAAGCAGCATCAAGCTTGTAATGCTTTTGTGCATATCAAATCTTTGATTTGCTTCTTTTTTTCTTGTATGCATTTAAGGACCTTGTGAGTTACGAAACGTCTCCCCTTTAGCTGTAGTGATAAAATGTTCTACTTCCTTTCTACTTTTGGGTTTTTAAGTCTATGTTTATTTGTCTGGAAATTCTTAATTTAGTTTACTAACGATATGTATGTGGCCTAAGAAAGAAGTAAGTTCCATTCCCAATAACCTGGGGAATCTAGAGTTACATCTTTTAAAGATTCCAAAAATGAATTTTTTGGCCATCCCCATGCTATGTAACGGTCTCCGTTTCCCCATTCTAACCATTTTTGAGATTGTCTTGCTCTCGTAAATGTGCTTATTTTGTTCCTTGGAATTTTATCATATTGTTGCCTGGTTAAATTTCTCGAACATGATAAGAAGTTGATGAGGATAGTGATATTTTATAACGATTACAATCAGAGTCATCTATGTGCATCTGTTAACAGGATCTATACCGGAACATTCTCCACGGCTACTCAAAAGAAGGTGGCTTTTTATCTGGTCCGTCTGCCAATTTCCTTGCGGGGTCCGCAGCTGGTTGCACAACATTAATCATTATCTATCCACTTGATATTGCCCATACACGCCTTGCTGCTGACCTTGGAAGAACAGAAGCTCGCCAATTCAGGGGCATACGTCATTTCCTGCGTACCATACGTGAGAAAGATGGAATTCCAGGGATTTACAGAGGACTTCCTGCCTCTTTGCAGGGAATGGTAGTACATCGGGGCCTATATTTTGGTGGTTTTGATACCATAAAAGAGATCATGTCCAAAAAATCCGAGCTAGATGTCCCATTGTTGAAGCGTTGGGCTGTGGCTCAGGCAGTTACGACATCTGCTGGATTGTTGTCCTATCCATTAGATACCGTTCGAAGGCGGATGATGATGCAGTCGGGCTTAGAACGGCCAATGTACCGTAGCACTTTGGATTGTTGGAGGAAGATATACAATACGGAGGGTTTATCCTCATTTTATCGTGGAGCACTGTCGAATATATTTAGGAGTACTGGTGCAGCAGCTGTTTTGGTTTTGTACGACGAGGTCAAGAAGATTTTGGATTGGAGCGGATTATAGCATATTCTGGTAAATTGTATTCGTCTCGACCCTCAGACTTAGAATAGAATTATGCGATTACAGTCCAATTTATGTTGTAGCATGCATATGAACAATTTGATATGATTGATAGTTGAAATATGCACAAATGAATTAGTATTCCATGTTTCCCTTGTTGAACACGATTTTTTGAATAATTGAGCGGAATTTTGTTGGAATATTGTTGTCAACAAATTCATCTTCTTTTGTTGTTATCTAGTGAACCACTACATTTGTGCGTTATTTATTTGGGTTGTGTTGTGTGTACACACGGCTTTACACCTTCCTCACATGAAGGGGGTTTCCACATGTAATAAAATATTCGTAGGCTCCCCTCCATGTGAGGGGGGTGTAAAGTCGTGTGAACACCACAAGGTGTACATACAGCATTTTCCTATTTATTTATGTCTTTTAAGACCGTTGATCTAACTCGACTGTGTCACTTCTTTAGCGACGTCAATGAGGAAAATATCCACGTGTATATTTTATCAAAGAAAACTATGTAAAATACAACGTAGAAAATCAATTGTGTACTTACATTCTTTTGGTAGACTCTGCTCGGTTTATTGCTACATCACGTGACCCATTCAAAAGCAGAAAAGGAAAAGCTAATGATTAGAAAAGGTAATTATAATGAAAGTGGAAGTCCCATAAAGAAGCCCAAGTTAAGATGACTTCACCTATGACATAGAAGAGGAACAAAATTAAAGTACATAAAAGTGGCTTACTTTAGACTAAGTTGAAGAGAGAACAACTGCATAAAGTACACACAAAACTATTCTCTTTGAGTCACTCAGAATTCGCTTTCTTTACGAAATATCAAAAGACGTCGGTCCGAAGTAACATCCTTATACTCGATGTTATCGTGACATGATCTTAAACAAACTACAATATATACGTCTTCGAGCACGTGGACCCACGATTTTTCTTACCTATACATGGCTGGCGCTAATATCTCGCAGAGTTTTGGATTGTGTGCTGTGGGTGAATAAGCAGTATTAACAGTGGTTTTGCTGCTGTTGACATAAGGAGCGGTCTATTCCAAACCCAAAGGAAAAGGAAAAGGAAGAGGGGAGAAAAATAAAAAGATAAAGAAATATTTGTGGTATCATCTCACAAGTCACAAAGGGCCTTCTTTTTTCACCCTCTATCTTTTTCCTTAATTGGTAAAAATCTTTCAAAGTGGGTTTGGCATTCATGGACTCAAATTACACTCTTTTTCTTGAATATATTATTATAATTGAATGGCAAATATTAAATGAAAGAAGTGGTGTCTACTTTTTTAATATATAATATTGCTAATCTCAACTGCTCTGGTTTGATCTAGCTAAAAAAAATTCCTAAAATAAATAAATATAATTTAAAAATTAATTTTAACCATACATTTCATGGTGCCCACAAATTTTATCAACTTTTCAATCATATATTTCATAACTTTTAATTAATTTTTAGTTAAATTAAACATGGAAGATCTCCTAAAAGAAAATTATCGAGTAAAACGTCTGGAAAAAGTGGAATAAGAACTGATGAATCACGTGTTTGGTATCTTACGTACTATATTTGGACATTTAAATTTTATTCATTATATTGTCTGATCGACTTAACTTGAAAACTGGAGTGGTGGCATCGATAAATTCCATATTTGTGGAAAAACAAGAAATGGGGACTCCTTATTTGATAGTCAAAAAAGCAGAAGCACAAAAAAAAGTATATCAGAAAAGCAATTGTGTTTTCTGATTTGTGTTGAGAATAATTTCCAACAAATATAAACAAAAGTTCGACAATATTCTTCACCTCAATTATTGGGATATTCATAAATTAACTTAGAATATATGTTCAATTAATAGGGTTCACAAATCAACAATTGAATTGTGCTCTTTTAAATTCAAATAAAGAAATTTACATAAAATCTTTTGAAATTAAGAAGCATTACAAAATATATGCCACTAACATTACAATTCAAATAAAAACCACATAAAAAAGTCACAATTCATGCTAAGAATTTACTAATCACGAGGACTACACGAATAAGAGAACGAAACCTTTACGAATATATATATTTTTTGGTCTCGGCTAATTAAACTAGAATCATGTCAAGATCCCAAGCTTTTAAGTAACTTATAATTAATAATTACAATACCCTATTATTTTGAAGAACGCCAACTTCAATAAGCTTGGGCACGAGGTGACCGCTCAAATGGAGTGCCAGGAGACTTTCAAACCCACCAACAAGTGCACCTCCTATGTATAACGCCGGTGCACCTACACCTTCCCTTCCAACGTCGCCATCGCCGCCTTTTGGGGCGGGGGCGGAGGCGGAGGCGGCAACCTGGTTGTTATTTAGAGCGACGATTTCGTCCTCCTCCAATTCGATGACGGTGGGGTGCACGCCGTTGGTGAAGAGCAAGCGTTTCATGACGTGGCACATGCAGCACGAAGAACGGCTGAAGATGATAACTGGATTTTCAGAGATTAGGCGCTGGATACGCATCTCCGTTGACTCCGCCTCGTCTAAGGCGAGTGGCGAGGTGGTGGTTGGAGTCAATTCTAGCCTTACTCCGCCTTCAGCTAGCTGCCCGTAGCGGTGGACGCCTTGCATCGCCAGCACTACGAAAATTTGTCGTAAGTGAAGTGGGGAATTGTCAGAGGCTGGCAACTGGGGAAGGTAATGTGTACGTGGAAGAGAAATGGGAAAGAGAGGTTATTATATGCAATTCTTGGGGTTGCGGTGGAGTGGGGTCGTGCGGGGTGAGGTTGGGGGTGGGTTATACCACAATTACGTAAGTGGTTTTGTGTGGCACGGGGAGACGTGAATAAATTATCAATCAATTGTGCATTAGATGACAAAAGAGTAAGATCCCAAAACGATATGTTTCTTAACTTTTACTTCTTATTTTGTTCATTATGTATACGAGAGGTTCGTTAAGAATGATTCTCATATTGACTCGATCGAATGACTTACAATATATTTTGATCTCGAAACTGTCAACCTCCATTTCGCCCCCATTTTGAAAAAAATGGAAATGAATAGATTAGTGTTTTTTTTTTAAATGAGTGGTTGTAAAAAAAAGGAAAAGTTTTCGATTTACGTATAATATTATTTTATGGAAGATTATGTGATTAAAAATAGGAAAGAGAAAAATGAAATGTAATAAAAAAAAATTAATGGAGGCCAAACGGGGACTCAGCGAGACACAACTTCATATTCATTCATGCATATGGATCCTTTCAAGATTATATATAAAGTGAATTTAGAATTCTCTCTAGAGATCAAGACTTGAATTTTTTGTTAATTTACAAATTTGATAATTTTATATGTAACTTGGAGAAAAAATTTCGTCAAGCTAAAATCCTTAGAACGAGGGAGAAGATTTGTCTTGCTATTTCTTTAAATACTCATTTTTCAATAAATGTTAAGATATAAATTGAATTACTTTAAAATTGCAATTTTTTAAACGCTTTATCTTTATGGTTATTTTTTCGTGTCAATTTGAACTTCTAATTAGGTCACGAATGACGAAACTCTTTAGTTTGGCAACATCCTTGTTTGAAAGAAGAATACAAGTTGGCAACAGTTGAGATAAGAATTTCAGTCAAATAAATAATAATGGGAACATTTGACTAAATAGATACATATTTGTTAACTTCTAAGTAGCCTTGAAGTATTGTCTTTAATTGAGTAACCTAAGCTTTTGAATGAATCATTTAGCACGAGCCATCTCAAAATTTTAAGAGATGGTGAATAATTAATTTTCTTTATTTCATTTTCGAATAAACATGCGTTCCTAAAAGATAAGGTCTAGTATGACTCATGTCGTGCCAATTCTGCATGTCCCAATTTATACGTATATTCACAAATGATATAAGATGTTCCACGCTTGGAAACAAATAATTATAAATGATTTCTTTTTACTATTTACACCAACCATAAACATAACTCGTAAAAAAGACACGGTAACTCGATTTTGATTATTTATAGTGGTAGGGGCGAAGGGCCCCAGTGTTGACCCCAACCCATTTAACTTTTCACATGTAAAAAGAAAATTTTATATAAATTTTTTTCTTATGTATCATCTTAGTTAAAAATAAATGTTCTCTTTGTCTCTGCTTCTAATGGTGGTCCTCTATCTTTAAAATTGAAGTGGACTAAAGATAGTAATGGTAGAAAATGTCACATTTCACAACCGAAAGCAAAATTTGATTGACATATTTAAGTGGAAAAAATAGTTGGGTTGATTTAAAAAAAAAAAAAAAAAAAAAGTGTCTTCTTCTCCGGTGGGGTTTATGTGTAGTGGCAATGTAGGTCACCATGCACAAGGTCAATTCTCTATATCTAATCATCGTCTTCTTCATGCACAATGGAATGAAACAAAGCAAGTCAAATCCACGGCTAGGTTTATGAAAAAGTTACAAAGAATGAACGTTAGATGTATCCAAATGTACATTTGTTTTGATTTTGTCTATTCCAAAATTATAGTATTAAAGCCGATCGATTATATTGAAGCAGTAAAAAATGTGAGGTCATATATTGAATTGGGGTAGTCTTCAGAATGACCAGAATATCTATTCTATTTTCCACAATGGCCTTAAAAATTGGAAATATTATTTTACCCTTACTTTTATTATTTGCAAGATGTATCATGTATCTTTTAATATTACTCTTAATCAGGACTTATGTTTATATTTTTTAATCTTTCAAATACTTCTAAATATTTTCTGTATCTTGATAATTCTTTAAAGATTCTAGGCTGATCTTTCTCAGTTATATATCCTAGAACTATTCCTCCTGAAACCTCTTCTTCTATATTTTTATATTTAGTTATAATATCTTCTACCTTTTTTATTTCCCTACTAATTTTTACAGAATCAAGACTTATATTATGCTTACAATAATAATCTATATCTTGATATATTTCTTCAAGTTTTTCTTTGCCAAGAGAAAATATGTCTTCAGATTTTTCAGCTAATTTAAGTAAAAACGAAATATCTTTCTCATCTAAATATAATTTGGGATTATTATCATTATTAGAAGTAGATGTGGATGCTTGTGAAGTGTTCATCAAAATTAATTAAACCATAAACATGTAAAAGCGAGTAAATAATTTAAAATAATCGAATGGAAGTAAACAGCCTTTCCCTCCAGTATGCTCTTATAGATGCTTTGCATGTACTTAATCAATCTTTTGAATCAAGTAAGAGTTTAGTATTGTTGAACCATTAAGTTCACAATATTATATCAAAACAAGATATGTAAATCAAGAAGGATATAAGAAGAATTTTCTTGTCCTCATAGACACTGGAGCAGATAAAAGTCATGTAAATGCTAAATTTGTTAGTCATTTAATAGATTTTGAAATACCAGAACCATATATATTCAAGCATTATTTGGGAAATAATCTCGAAATTAGAAAATATGTAAAATTCCCTCTAATACTTAAGGAAGGGGATCAGAAAGAATATACAAAAAAATAATTATATATAAAGACGAATTATATGGAGTTGATCGTTCTCTTATACTACTAGGAATGAACATTTTTGAGAAATATAGTTCTTATAAAATCTGTCAAGAATATCTAAAAACAACAGTTGATGATAATTCAATCATCATATCAAGAATAGATGAAAATATGAAATCATTGTTATTATGAAAAGAGTAATTAACACTAATTTCATGAGTCCATATATTGAAATTACACTCAATATAAAAAGTTATTACAAAATTAAATTTCATGCTTACTTAGATACAGGAAGCACAATAAGTTTATGCTTACCAAATTACTACCATCTGAATACTGTAAATATAATTCAAAGAAGATCGTCACTAGGGTTGGCAGCTCGGCCCTTAATGCCACGAGCTCGGCTCGTGCTCGTGGTGAGCCGAGCTCGTGGGCCGAGACAAGCTTCGGCTTGTGGGCTTGCCTAATTTTTTTTTTAAATAAAGAATAGAGTTTTGAAAATAAAAAGTGTTAAAAAATACAAATAATTTAACGAAAACAAATTTTTATTTTTTTTATTTATATCATATTGTAATTTGTAATACTTTTTATAAAGTATAAAATATTTATATAATGAAAACGAATTATTTTTTGAAATACATTTACAAAAAATATATTTTTTTGATTTCTTTTTAAAGTTAATAAATAATAGAGTTTTAAAAATAAAAAGTATTAAAAAATACAAATAATTTAACGAAAACAAGTTTTTATTTATTTTTATTTATATCATATTGTAATTTGTAATACTTTTTATAAACTATAAAATATTTATATAATGAAAACGAATTATTTTTTGAAATACATTTACAAAAAATATATTTTTTCGATTTCTTTTTAAAGTTAATAAAATGTAAACACTCCTCCTTTATCCGGGCTTGGGACCGGCTACATCAATTTTAAGTAGGCGGGGTTAAAAATTATACACTAACAACTTGTTGTAACGTGTACAATTTTTTAAAGAAAATTAAATTTAACGATTAAAAAATAAAAAAATTGATTAATATAATTAAATCAAATATCACTTACCTGACGACATGCAATTTCAACGTATTTATCTTGTAGTCGAAAATGAGCGTCTTGTCAATCCTTCACACACATTAACGTTTCCAAAACATTTTCTTTCAGTCGGCTCCTGACATAGGTCAAAACCCTTTTACCTGCACTAAAAGCAGACTCCGAAGCAACAATGCTAACCGGATGTGTCAATAGATCTTTCGCAATTGCAGAAATAATTGACCAACATCTTTCGTATTTTCGCCAGAATTCAATTAGTTTTTCTGAAGTTTTTTAATTGTTCTGTCTGTTGGCATATTATGATTGAAATAATCAATTAATTCGGCAGGCATCGCATTTTGAGTTTCGTCCGATGTTTGATGAGATGCAGATGTAGACGACATGGCACTAAATGAACACATTGCAGTTGCATTATATCTAAATGTATGAATGCCCTAAAATAAATTCATTATTTCTGCAGCATATTCTTCAGTTTCAGCAGAAGGAGTAGGTGCAGTAGAGGGTACCCGACTAACATTCGCACCCATTCTTTCCGCATATAAATCATACATTCCACATAATGTTTGCTCTAAATTCTTATAGGTGATAGGTGTATCAAGTATTAAAATTTCATTGATTTGATCAATTACGTATTTAGTTCCCGAAATATTATATCGGGGGTCCATTGCGCATGCTAAAGGAAATAACATAGGCAGTTCTTCCCAATATTTTCTAAACTTTAATTCCATAACAATTAAAATTTCACTAAAAGCAGGATCATTTTTATATTTATGGAATGTTCTTGCAATTATATAAAGGCGTTCAAGCACCATACAGCTTGTGGGATAATAAACGCCGGATAAAATCTTTGTGGTCTCATAAAAAGATGTCAAAAATTGTTTAACTTTCAAAGCTAAAATCCAATCGGATTCATTTAACATACCATCGTCATCACTTCTAACATGTCTATTGTTATAAAAGTCAGTTATTAAATTTTTGAATCTTCACATGATTTTAATAGTAAGTATGTAGAGTTCCATCTATGACCTACGTCGCTAACAAATGTTTTAGCAGTCATCACCCCTAGTTCGGCACAAAAATCTTCAAATACTTGTTTTCTACTAGAAGAGATCGTAATATATACTAATGCATTTCAAATCCTTTGAAGTTCATCCTTTATATGTTTTAAACCATCTTACACAATTAAATT